CACTCTTCCAGGATGTGCAGAAGCCCTCCCAAGATGAGTGGGGAAGAACCCTGGAGGCCATGGAAGCTGCCCTGGCCCTGGAGAAGAACCTGAGCCAGTCTCTTCTGGATCTGCATGCTGTTGGTGCTACCCACACAGACCCCACCTCTGTGACTTTCTGGAGAATCATTTCCTGTCGAGGAGGCGAAAATTACCAAGAAGATGGGCAACCACTTGACCAACCTCAGTAGGCAGGGCTGGCCGAATACCTTTTCGAGAGGCTCACTCTCAAGCACCACTAAGAAGAGCCTGTGGAGCCCCACAACCTGTGAAGGGCCTTCAGCATTCCCCTGCTCTCCTCTAACCTTCTGCCTGAACCTTTCTCTCCAGACACAGAGGCAGCATAGTCAACGCCCTGGAGCCCCTCTTCTCACAAGCAATAGACCAAACTAAAACAATAAAGCTTCCTTTTACAGCAAAAAAAAAAAAAAAAAACCACACACACACAAAACAACAACAACTATAATCGGTTAGTCTACAATCAATTATACAACTTTAATGTGTATACATTAAGCTTTGGGCTCACCTATTGGCAAGATGTGTGTCTTGAAATCTTGTTAAGTGCTGTCGAGTCAATTCAGATTCATAGCAAACAATCCCTGTATAGTGTTTCCAAGGAGCAGCTGGTGAGTTTGAACAGCAGACCTTGTGGTTAACAGTCCAGTAGTAATCCTACAGAGCCACACCAGGACTCCCTTGAAATCATAACTAATAATAAACCCGTTGTTGTTGTTACGTGCTGTCGAGTCATTTCCGACTCATAGTGACCCCATATAGGGTTTCCAAGGAGCAGCTGGTGAGCTTGACCCACCGACCTTGTGGTTCAAACGACATTGCAGCCCAGCGCATTAGCCCACAGCGTACATACAGTTTATTCCATTTCATAGAGACCCAATAGGGCAGAAGATTACCAAGACAGTGGGAGCCCAGTGACTCCATAGGATAAGCACTGGACTGTGGTACCACAAGGTTGCTGCTCCACTGGAGAAAGTTAAAGCTTTCGGCTCCGACAAAGATTTACAGCTCAGAAACCCTATACAACGTCACTGTTCATAAAAAACAGACTCCACAGCACTTAACAACAACAACAGTAATCTTTCCAGAAGCCGACTACTAACCCTTTTTCTCCCTTGGAGTTAGTGTTGGTGGGTTCTAACCCTGACCTTTCTTTAGCAGCTGATTGCTAAACCACCGTTCCCAGGCAGTAAATGTGAAGGCATTTGTGTTTTGGAGGAATGGACTTGGAATTTCAAGGGGAATTGGATAAGCTATGTTTATAGTGTCCAGTTTGTATCTTACATAACTTAATCCTTCTGAACTTTATTTTCTTCATTTGCAAATAATTCTTAGGTCTTTGCCAGTTCGAGAACTCTGCAATAAACTCTTAGCAAGCAATGCCAAATAAATAATAGGAATTTACACAGGATTTTGAAAAAGAATCAGTTTCAACTGATGTCAGGGAGGGTTTCCTGGGAAACTAGGATTTGAATTGTATTTTGACAATAGCTTTGGATCAATGGAAAAAAGAAAACAGGCATTAAACTATTGAAGACAGCACTTTATGTATAATTTCCTCCCAACCCTCCCCTCCAAAACAAAACAAAAAAAGCTCACTACAGTCCAATCTGATTCACAGTGACTGATAGGACAGAGTAGAAATGCCCCATAGGGTTTCCAGTCTTTGTGGAAGCAGACTGCCATATCTTTCTCATGTGGACTGGCTGATAGGTTTGAACCACCGACCTTTTGCTTAAAGTGTTTTAACTACTAGGGCACTTGTTGCTGCTGTTGTTAAGTGGTGTCGAGTCAATTCTGACTCATAGCGACCCCTATATAGGGTTTCCTTGAGCAGCTGGTGAGTTTGAACCATCAACGTTGCAGTTCAAACCAACCTGCAGTCCAGTGCGTATCCTAAGCGCCACAACAGGACTCCACTAGACACATAGCATTATGTATTATGTGTTCTTGAGTTTGTTCCATCTCATAGCAACCCTGTCTAGGGTTTCTGAGATTGTTAATTCTTTATGGGAGCAGAAAGCAGCCTAATGCATAATCCACTACACCACCAGTGCTCCTGTACCAGTATGTATGGTGGTGGTGGTGGTAGTGATGGTGGTGGTGGTGGTTGTGTGCGTCACGTCGGTTCTGACTCTAGGGTTTCCAAGGCTGTAAATCATTACAGGAGCAGAAGCCCTCATCTTTCTCCTGTGGAGCTGCTGGTAGATTTGAACTGCTGACCTTGAGGATAGCAGCCCAACAAGCTACCAGGGATTCTTTGCATTATGTATACTATCTAACAATCCATCAACATACACAAGAGCAAAGCAGTATTTTTTTTTTTTCAGTTATTTGAAACTTTCACCTACTAGCTATTGCTTTAAATGATAAATGACGGTTCTCTGAATTTACGAGCCCTTCAAGGTTAAGATTTTCCCCCAATGTAGGGGTGAGGAGAGGAGGGAAAAATCAAACCAGGAATACTTCTGCTTCCCCTTTTCGATTTTCCAGAGACATTGCAGTTGCCGAAACATTTCCCTTGTTCATGACTGCATGAACTACAGTTTAATTAAAGGAAGATAGAATGTTCATAATTTAAAACCTTTTTTTCTTTAAATTTTATTTATTTTGTTATTGTTGAAAATATACACAGCAAAACACACCAATTCAACAGTTTCTACAAGTACAATTTAGTGACTTTGATTACATTCTTCAAGTTGTGCAATAAACTCTTTACAAGCAATGCCAAATAAATAATAGGAATTTACATAGGATTTTGGAAAAGGCACAATTTCAACTGATGTCAGGGAGGATTTTCTAGGGAATCTCACACTCCTTTTCTGAGTTGTTCTTCCCCCATTAATATGAACTAAAGTTCTTGTCTAATGATAGAGTCCTTAAAAGAGCATAATGTTCAAGACAGATTGTTTTTATGTGGCACTGTGGAATAAAGCACTGGACAGCAAGGTCAGTTTGAACCTCAAGGTCAGAAGTTCAAACTCACCAGCCACTCCAGAAACCCTATACAGGATCACTATGAGTCAGAACCGACTCGACAGCAATTAACAACAACAACAAGCCAAAGTATTGTTGCGTTTAAAAAAGATTTCAGAGGATATTTTTAGTTCAAGGTTTAAAGATTATCTCAGGTCAATAGTTTCAGAGGTTCATCCACACTCCATGGCTCCAGAAAATCTTGACTCAGGCAAATTTGAAATTCTATTTTGTATTTCCCCCCTTTTGGTTAGGATTTTTCTATGAAATCTTTGGTCCACATGTTTAGCAATGGTAGCCACGTACCTTCTAGTCTAAAGGCAAAGGAGGCAGTTGTTCATGGAGGCAATTAGCCACACACATTGCAAATCCTCCATCTTATTCCTGCCTCTCCTTCCTCTGTTGTTCCAGGTAAATAGCGAATTTAGAACCATTTGCTCTAGTTAAAATGCTTATGAAAATCACAATGCGTGGTTGGATTGAGTAATTCAATTGCTATTGAGAAAAGCTATCATTTGTAGAAAGCACAGAAACTTTGTAGATGAAAATTAAATATGGTGCTTATAAGAGGCTCATGGAGAATTCATGGGAAATGAAAAACTTATGAGACATCCTAATGAAAAAGCTAGATCTCAGGCTAACATCCTTAACATGAAAGACACCACTGACAAATTAATGGAATTCATTTTACTTATTTTATCTTTTACTCAGAAACTTGGCACCAAGAATAGGATG